TCCTTGGATGATAGATTTTATCATGCAGAATTCTCCCTGTGTGGTATCTAACCTGGCACCAGTGAGTGTGTCCACCCCTAGTATGTATTCAGCAACCGGGGAAACATAAACATCATAAGGACACAAGGCCAAATGCTCAACGCCCAACATCACCTTGGCCTTCCACACTGTAATGCAGTGACCTCCATACCCTTCTGTGCATTCAGAAACAGTCTGTGTTGCCATGCATCAGTATTGACTAAGCTCTGATACCCACCAATGCCAATGCAAGATGTATATTTTTCAGGGGCCAAAAAATAGTTAATTCTACATGTGGCCTCCAGTCTCCCAGGGTCCCTAGCAACTGGGTACCTCAGCCTGTCTCCTCTTCTGGGTAAAAGACTGTCAGCATCAGCTCATCCTGCTTCACAGGGGCTGCCTCTACCTTTGGGCCCCTAGGCCAGTATTGCTGGTCAGGTTACAACTGCTTCCACAAAGACAGCAACGCCTCTACGGGCTGCCCCTCCAGCTTCTCTGGGTCTGAGCCAGCTGCTGTCAGATCTACCTTCTAGGGACCAGGTGCCTGCCCCTCTGGGGTTGGTCTTGCTCATTCCAGAGCTGTAGCAGCCTTGCAGGCACTGTTTCACCCACCCTTTCCCCGACAGTGGGTTGTGCCTAGAACACCAGGGGGCACTCTTGGTGAGTAGGATTTGCACTCTGAGAGGAGGTAGGCCTCTTTACTTCAGCACGGCTTCCGAAGCTGCCACACGTTGCTCCAAGCTCTCTTTAGTTCACTGCAATTGGTTCACCTGCTGGACAAGGTCATCTGCCTCCTGTCTCACGTGGTGGAAGAGACTAAAAAACAGCCAAGCCACCCTCCCTGCTGATTCACGGTGGGGGAGAGGAATCTGTGTCTCTGGTGTGTCCAAGGCCTGCCATACATCTCTCAGCTTCGGAAGGACCATCTCCCAGTTCTTGGGAGATTTCCAAGATGCCAAGAAAGTTGCTACCAGAATTGCAGCCAGAGTGGGGCCAGGGGATGCATTGCAGTAACTCCCCAGGGTTCCTCCCCACTATCCAGCACTGCTTCCATACAGGCCGGAATGGGGACACTCACCTGACCATCCCATTGACCCTGCCAAGTGTTGGTGCCAGTGGGCTGAAGGGAGGTATGGTCAGGTGAGTTTCCCAAAGAAAAGAACACAAGTGGAACAGATATTAAACTTTAATTTAGCAGAAGCTAAACTTTAATTTTACAGCATACCACTTATAGTGGCCATTATCAGATTTCCCGAGACACAGTAAAACAAAACAGCCATGCAACCTTGCATAGCCGTTTGGTACGTGTGTGGTCATCCATGCTGATTCATCATTTTTGTAATAAAGTCCAATGTGCACCTGCACCAAATGACAGAGCTGTGTCCTCAGGTGCCCTCAAATACCCTTAGATGCCTGGGCTTTGACACATTTGCCAGCAGCCCTCTACACCCTTTTAGGTCATCCATATTATGTCTGTCTCCTTATTGTTATAGGGCATATGATATAGGACCTCCAAATAATCCAAATAATGTAAAGGAAATATTATAATTTGCAATCTGCTAGATATACAAAATGCTGAGTTCTTGTTCTCTAAAATCAAAGAATGAATGTAGGAACAGCAGACGTTAAGAGTAAGGAATACTTATTGAGGTAAAAGACATCACCTGCTTAAGAGGGACAGGAGGGGACACTTGGAAAGTGGGTAGCCTCCCACTCCCACTTCTCCAGAATGTTTTGAGCAAAGCCACTAGGTAAGGCAGGTTCAAGGTAGAACAAAACTACAGTCAACTAATAAGATTAAAAGTATGATTGTTTAGGTAATACTGAGCTAATGGGAAATCACAAAGTGGGTATGTAGTGAGACAAAACTAGAGTCAACTAATAAGATTACAGCAAGTATAGTCATTTGGGTGGTATTGATTAAATGGGGATCAAATGGGGAAGCAAGTCACATAGCAATTGTACATGGACCAAATAAGAATTTCTGGGAAGGAATGGACCAGGGAGGTTTTGGTCCCCACCCAGGATGATTGATGCCTATTTAGAATATCAATTACCTCTGATCATTTGGCCTAGTGGAAGTATGTGGGTATAGTCATTCCTCTTTTTTGAATCCTGGTCTTCAGTAAATGGGCCACAATTTTCTTCTATATTGACTCCCTTGAGGGCCTGGTCCTGACTGCCTATAATATACCCAACTAACTTACCTGTATATAGTATTATGATGCCCTAATTTCCCCCAGGTCTGATTCCTTAATCCATTCCAATTTTTCCTCAATTCAAGCTGAGGTAGCAGATTAGGGCTGGGGCAAAATCTCTTAGACTACTGACGTAAGCTGTCAGAGTCATGGAGACCCAGGGCATCTGCACAGAACACAGGATCCAGGATGACTCTGAAGTTCCTGAGCACCCCTACATGAAATCTATATATTTTTTAATTCTTCAGTTGATAATAGCCATTCCTAGGGGATGAGATGAAATCTCAGTTTGATTTGTGTTTCCCTAATAGCTAAAGAAGTTAAAGAATTTTCATATACCTATTGGGTATTTGAACTTTTCTTGTAAAGTGCGTGTTAAATTTATTTGCACATTTATAAATTGGATTATTTCATTTTTGGTGTGAAGATTTGTTGTTCCTTAAAGGTTCTAAATGTTAAAAGAAGAGATGGAAAAATATTTTTTTCCCTATTCTGTTGGCTAGATTTTTACTCTATTGGTTCTTTCCCTTGTTGTATAGAAACTTTTTAATTTGGTGTGATTTCATCTGTTGATTCTCAATTTTATTTCCTATGCAATTGAACTTAATAAGATTTTTCCTGTGCTTATGGCTCCAAGTGTCTCCTCTGTTTTTCCTTCTAGCAGTTTCAGAGTTTCAGGTCTGATATTATTATAGGCAGCTAAGTTAGATAGAAATTAATATACAGTCAGAAAGGGCTTGGGCCTTCAAGGAAGTTAGCGCAAAAAATAAAAACATCAGAACTATGGCTGGAGGCAAATCTGAGGAAAGCCAGGCCTCAGGATAGAAAAGCAATAGCAAGATCTGCATGCTTTCCTGCAGACAAACAGCAACTGGAGGCTATACTGTAATTAACCCAGATAGGTATCAGATAGGAAGGTGCGTGACCAGAGCATCTGGAATCATACTCCCCTCCCTTTCCAAGAATTCTTTGATCTTTTCATGTACTCTTGCTATATGACTCTTTTCTGTATTGGATCAATATTACCTAAGTGGCTGTGCCTGTAATCCTATAGTTTGACCCATGCTGTACCCACATTGTGACTTTGCTATATAAATTACTCCTGACAAAGGGCCTCAGTGACCACCCTTTTGGGACCCATACTGGAAATCCAGGAGCTATTCTTCTCTTTATTTCCAATAATACTCTCTTAATGATACAGGAAATAATATCAGATAAAATAAGAAATATTATATCTCCCAATCTGTTAGATGTCTGATACGCTGAGCTCATGTTCTCTAAAAATCTAAGAATGAATTCTAGGAACAATAAAGGTGAAGAGTAGGAAGATATTTATTGATACAATAGCTCCTGAGAGGCAGAACAGGTCCCAAATGGGTAGCCAGGGACCCCAGTCTATAACGGGTAAAACTCACGTGGGCATAACATAGGCCACAGCCATGATCAACCAATAAGGTTAAAGTATAGTCACTCAGATAATAGTGGTCTAATTGGAAAACAAGTCATGTAACAAATGTGGAAGGAGAGAAGAAAGATTTCTCCTAGGAATAGTGGGTCCAGAGGTCCTGGTCACCCACTAGGGTGGCTGATGTCTGTCTAGACTTTATTAAGCCCAGTGCTTGTCCTCTGAGGACAGTTTAATAATATTTACCTAGCTCAGCTATCTGTAATACTAACTTCCTCTTTTGACTTACGACTTCTTTCCTTGATGTTGTGAGACTGTAATGGGTCATGAATTATATGGTCATGACATGCAATGGGTCAGGAATTATATTTTTCCTATATCAACACCAAGGTCTTTGATTCACTTTGTATATTAATTTCTGTACAGAGTGAGAGATAGGGATCTTGGTTCTGTCTTCTACACATGGGGTATCCAATTGTCCAGTACCGTTTGTTAAAGAATCTGTCTTTTCTCCAATGTGTGCTTTTTACTCAGATGGTTGTAGTTGCATGGCTTTGTTTCTGCACCATATTGTATTTTTTTAAACAATGGCTTTGTAGTATAATTTGAAACTATGTTTTGGCTTGTTTTTGTTTTTTGAGCCTGGGTCTCCATGTGTAGTTCAGGCTGGCTTTGAACTCACTATGTCACCCAGGCTGGCCTAGAACTTGTAGATATCCTCCTGCCTCAGCTTCCTGAGAGCTGTGATTACAGGGATGTACCACCATGTCCAGTTGAAACTATGTATGGTAATACCTCCAGAATTCCTTCAGACTGTTTTGGCCATACTGGGTTTATTGTGCTTCCGTATGAATTTTTGGATTATTTATCCTACTTCAGTGATGAATGTCATTGGAATTTTTGATGGGGATTATACTGAATCTATAGATCACTTCTAGTAGTACGGTCAGGATTTATTTTTCTAATCCATGAACATGGGAGGTCTTTCTATCTTCTAGTGTCTCCTCCAATTTCTTCACTCTTTTATAATTTTCACTGTAGTCATCTTTTGCCTTTTTATCTAGGTCAATTCATAGGTCTTTTATTTTTTTAAGCTACCATGAATGGGATTATTTTCTTGATTTCTTTCTCAGAAAGTTCATTTTGGGTGTATTAAAAAGTTGTTAATTTTTTTGAAGCTGATTTTGTATTCTGCTTAGCACTTTATATGGTTTATTTTGAAACAGTCTTACTAAGTTGCTCAGGCTGTCCTCAAAATGCCATCCTCTTGACTCACCACTGTCACTGACTTTATAGGAGAGGATATGGGGGCTGTGGGGGCTGTGGAGGCTCTGGTTGGAGACAGCAGCTTACCCTAGACCAGCCGTCGGAATCTGCATTTGAAGGAGATCCCAGGCATTTCACTGCAGAACTGGCTGGGACGCACCCTTGCTGAGTCAATTGGCCCCAGGCAACAGAATCACAAAGCCCGGAGGAGGCAGGGGTTGTACGATATCAGCTCCTTCCCTTCAATTCTCCCCTTCAGTCCTTTCCCACCTTCGTCTTGGATGGGATACATTCTGCCTGTCCCCAACTCTCAGGAAGCCTCTACTCTCTGTCACCAAGATGTACCAGCTCCGTCTCTTTGCAGTTCTTGTCCTCCTGGTCACCCCGGTGGCCAGCACCCAGGAGAGAGGGACCAGCGCTCCTTCCCAAGGTAACTCTGGACTCTCTCCTCTCCCTGTTCAGTGGGAGAGGTCGAAGAAGGATGGGTGGGTTTCAGGTGGAGGCAAGCCTTTCTCTCTGGGCCTTTTATTGGGAAATTAGAAAGTTATAACTCCAAGGACATTTCATGGCTAAAAGATTTATTGTACCAAATGCTCATCAAATGGTTCTGCCAGATTCTGGACCCCACCTTTGAGAGTTTTTTCTATTCTTGGTCACTGACCATCCCAGGCCATAGTTGGCCCCCTAAACATATGTGGTATTGATACTAGAGTTTAGGAGCAAAAGCCCTGGCTCCAGGGGTCCCAATAGACCAGGCCCAATAAAGGAGATGAACAGAGGTGAAGAGCCGGAAAGGAGCTTTTGTCAGTTTGGCCATGCTGGGAAGCACCGGTGTAGTCTAGATCTGTCTTTTGGAGACTGACAGAAGTTTTGAGGGTCTAGAGAAAAGATGAAGAAAGGTTAGTGTTTGGCATAGCTGACAGTGGAAGTAAACCAGGTCAAGTTTGGTCCTATTGATCAGTCTCAGTGAGGTCTGAGAGCCCATCATCATTCTAGAGGACAATTTGATCGTTATTGAGATGAAGACTCCTGGGGGGAGGGCATAATCGCTCCCCCTGACAGGCGACCACATCAGCAAGTGTTCTGAAGAGTTCCCTTTTTCCTGGAACCTGAGGCGATTACAAATTGAGGACGAATTCAGAGACTTCCAAACATGGCTTTGGAGATCTCAATATGGATTTTGTGAAAGCAGGCAATTGGGTGCCCTTGAAAATCCTGAAAATTATTTTTGTTATTCTTATTTTGGTGTCCTCTTCAAAGCAATGCAATAGGCTAGATAAATTTAGGGTTAATAAACCTTGTATTATAGATACTCCTTAATTGATTTGCATGCCTTCTGGCAGAACTGAGAAGGGATGTGATCTACATTTAAGGTAATAAGGGAGACATATAAAAATGAAGGCAGGCATACCAAGCTTTATTTGCTCTTATTTACTCATTGGGCATCTTCATGTCCAACCTCTGCATTCCTGTTACAAAATATAATTTAAAAATAAAAATTTGGTCTTTGTCCCCTGTCTCTGGAATGATATATCTGAAACTCTAGGCATTTACAGTCTTACATATACTTAGATAACTGAAGGCACTGGTCCCAGAGGCAGAGACTGTCAGAAATGAATCAGGCAATTTATAGCCCTCCTGGGAGGGGAGTGGACCGCAGAAACGAGGTTCAAGCCCCAAAGGCCAATGGTTGAATAATCATGCCTCTGTAATGAAACCTTTAGGAAATCCCTAATGGTGGATTTGGACAACTTCCAGTTTGGTAAACATATAGATGCACTGAGAGAATGACACACCCTAAATAAGAAATGGGCCACCCTGTTTGCTGTGCCCTGTGCATCTATTGGGGCAATTCCTGTATTGTGCTCTTTATAACAAACAGTAACACTAAGTAAAGTACCTTAAGTTGTTATTTATCGATTTGTTTGTTTACTTATTTATTTTTGTAATACTGGAGCTCGAACCCAGGTTTTCTGCAGTAAGCTACATCATCAGACTTAATTTTTTTTTAAGCAAGGGTTCATTATGTCTACTTGCCTAGGCTGGGCTCCAATTTGAGAGCCACCTGCCTGTGCCTCCCAAAGTGCTAGGGTCATAGGCAGAGGTCATAGGTCATCGACTCAAAATGCCTTCTTGAGTTCTGAAACTGTTCTAGAGAACTGGTAGTGGAACTTCAACATTTACATCCCTAGTACATTAAAATTAGGAATCACTTGCAGCTGCTATCTAAGCTGGCCCAGAGTCATTCATTTTTCTGCCGTAGGTCAAACAACCATTGAGTATCGGGCCTGAGAACTGAGAGAATACGTAGTTTTAAGGTTCCCATCCTGGTGCTTGAGCAAAAAATGAAGCAGGGTGGGCAGGAATGGGATCAAAGGGATTGGGGTCTGTGAGAAAGCTGAGGATGGGGCTATGGGCTCCAAGTCCTTAGACCTAACAGGTTTTGTTTAAAAGTGAAGTCTTCTGCTACGAAGAATGCACAGCCACACTCGCCTGTCAAAACGGGATATCACCCGATGAGATAGCCAACGTTAGCAGAGTGTTTTCCTCCTATTCCTCCATGATAGCATTATCAATTAAAGGAATTTTCTTTAAATAATTGAAATTTGCAAAGGTACAAAGAGTTTAAAAAAGCCCCATGTACCCGTTGTTCTTCTACAACAATTGTTCTTATGGAGAATACTGAATATGTATATCGTTCTCCTATTTTTTCAATTTGTTTATATCCTGGGGTTCTGAAAAATCAAATCCCAGGCATGGCCAATTTATTAATGCATAAATAATTAAGCGCAGTATGTAACTTTTTAATTTACCACATCACGATAAAGCGAACAACATTAATAACGTCCAGAAAGCAAGCTAGGAGGTAGAGGTTTCACTCCTCCACCTCCCTCCCGTGGTTGAGTCCCTCGTTTGCTATGTAGACTGTGCTGTGTGGCCGTCATTCTAGTTGACCACAGGCTCTCTCTTGTCTTCACAGCCCCGCCGCCTGCCTTCTGCCTGGACCCTCCCTACACGGGTCCCTGCAGGGCTCTATTTCGCAGATTCTTCTTCAATGCCACCTCCGGGCTCTGTGAGAAATTTGTATATGGTGGCTGCAGAGCAAAGCAGAACAACTTCCGGAACAATGAGGAGTGTGTCCAGACTTGTGGTAAAGCTGGGAGTGCTGAAAGGCAGAAGGAAGGGAGTGTAGGAGCCCCGCACACGTCACACCCGCACAGGGACGCTGCGGCTGAGGCTCTGTTGACCTCAGGGGATGAAATGGCAGGTGTCTTATGAACCCGCAGACTGAGCACAAGCTCTTTTGGGAGCTCGGTGGGAGGCCCCTGCTCTAAGTGTCCTTAACATGATCTGAGCCACCTCATCTGTGCTCCCTTTTCGGGGGGAAACACAGAGGCAGATCTAAAATTCCCCTGCACTTTTCCCACACAGGTTTGGTGAAGCTGCTCCGTTCCTGTCTGTACCCTGGTTGCAGGGAGGACCGCAGTGGCTCCTTTCTGGGGTGGTCCAGGACAGTGGTGGTGAACCTGTGCCATGTGTGTCACAATGGGCTGTTTGTACCATTGAAAGCTCTAAGAAGTTCCCATCACTGGTCTAGGATACATGGTCATGTGCAGGGTCCAGGTCAAGGATAGGATCAGTGAAAATCAGCAAGTATTTTTGTTTTCGTTTTTGTTTTACAGAGATGCCGACACTTGTGCTACCGTGACCTGATGAAGTCTGAGACTCCACCCCCACCATCCCCCAGAAAACACTATAACCATTTTCGATGGCAATAAATATTCTTCTAGCATAGTATTTATTCGTCTCAGTTCATCCTTTTCTCAACAGACCCTGCCTCCTTCTCCCCAGGCTCTTCTTGTCTCAGTACCATTTAGCCATAGACTCTTAAGCATCACAAGAACAAGAACCGAATGTCTGTTTTTCTCATCACTTTGTCCCCAGCCTGTAGCACAGCAGCATGTTATATGTAGGAATAACTAATAAATTTCTGGGGCATGAATGAGTGCATCTCATCCGCACAGGACTCACTGCAGAGGTGGGCTATTGAAGCCAAGTCTCTAGGCTTAATCATCTGCTGCGTTTCATCTTTGCCTTCATCATCCGCTCACACTTTCATGAGAGGGGTAGAGCTGGGGTTTCTGGCACCCAGTTCTGAGTGTCCATCATACGGAGCAGGGGAAGCAAGGACACTTTCACAAGAGGCCTCCTGCGAGTCCTGTGATATCAGACATCTCTCCTGTTTTTCTCCTTGGCTTTATGTTTAAGTACATTTATTTCCTTTCTCCCTTTTGCTTTCTTATTTCTCTCCTCCCTCCCTCCCTCCTTTTTCTCTCTCTGTCTCTGTGTCTCTGTCCCCCACCCACCACCGCCTTTTCTGTACTTCAAGTCTAGAGCTAGAACATGCTAAGCAAGTGCTGTACCAGTGAGCTGCATCCTCATGCAAGACATTAATTTCCTGATTAAAATAACCAGACTACATTCTGTTGTTTGCAACTCCAAACTTTATTTAGCACAATCCTCAGGTATTGTGGTGTTTCCCATTGTCCTGTAGGGCTTTACATTTTTTTTTTTCCTGCAGACTGAACCATACCAGTTAGAGGAAGTAGTATCCCAAGCTTCACAAAACCTAGGTGGCCCTGTTACAGTTGAATGCGCCAATAAATGTTCAGGTTCTTGTGTACAATAAGGAAAGGATCGCCAAGTGTACACCTTATAGCAAGTAGTCAACAGCCATGTTTCATGAAGATCATGGAAGGTGGTGCTCAGAGATAGCCCATGCCTACAAATGTATAGCACAGACCATGAAAGGTGTTGGGGTGACCAAAAAGCACTGCACACATTTCAAAATTAGAAACAGCAACAGAAAAGGGGCCACTAACTCAGGCTTCAGAATTTAAATTCCAGGCACCTCTGCTTTAGGAGCTTTCCATTGAATCTAAGTGATTGACAGGACCGACTGAGATGAGTCATCTTGTGGCTCTTAGCACACGTACTCATCCCAGAATGCACCAATCATAATTATATGTATGTAATGTAGTGCATATTTATGGGTCTATAATGAGGTGTGAGTAGAAAAAGTTGACTGGAATGTCAGGCTTGGACGTCCAATGTGCATATACTCTCAATTTAGGAATTCTCCCAAGTTTTTTTGTTATTTTTTACCTCTCTTAGGACAATGGAAGTAGGAACAACCCTAGGGTGCTGTTTTGAATTAAATAGAGGCAAGGGGGTGACTTCTCAGTTCCACTGTTTGTATATATACTTTTCTTCCCTAAGAGCTCTGTCCCCCAAATCTTTGAGGGGTGTTAAAGGCCTAAGTTCTGTCTTTTGTAGCTATTTATAGCTGAATAGGGATGGTGACTACCTATGCTCAGACCAAGGAACTCTTGCCCTGACTAATCTATGAGTTCCAGGGAGTTGAGGTCTTCTCCAAAGATTTCTTGATAGACCATGGGTGCAGAAACAGGTTCTGATCTTGAGTAATGGTCATCACCAGTAGTTTGACAGGTGTCAAACAAGAAGAAACAAATTTGACTAAGTGGTTAATTCTGTAAGATCTAAGTAATAAGCTTATGAGAAACATTAATAGAGGCCAGGCCCAGGGCAGCAACCAAGACCCCAAATTCCGGATATTTGGCCAGGACATCTATGATTGAAATAGTTTTTCATGGATTTTGAAAGCATGGTCAGCCATCTTTTTTCAACCATGTCTCTTACTATTTTACAACCACTAATATAGATTCTTTTTTTTTTTTTTTTTTTTTTTTGTACTGGGGATCAAACTCAAGTCCTTGCGCTTACTAGGAGGCAGGCAGTGGAACCACTGAGCTAAATCCCCAGCTTAGACCTAGTGATACAGGAACTACATTCTTCTCTTACAGACGAACATAGCTCCTTTGCTTTTTTTATAGACAGCTAAGATATGTAGAAACATTATATTACAAACGGGGCTAGGACCTCAAGAAAATCAGCACACGAGATGAGAGCATATTACAACTGTGACTGGGAGTGCATCTGTCAAAGGCCAGGCCTCAAGTTAAAGATGGAATGGCCAGGCCTACATGCTTCCTGAGGGATAAGCAATAAATTGAAGATTATACTATAATTGGTATCACTTGGTCCAATAAAGCCTAGATAGACATCAGTCACCCAGGTGGGTGACCAGGACCTCTTGAACTATCCCTTCCCAAAAAAGCCCTTGTTCTTTCCGTGTACACTTGCTACATGACCTGGATCATGCTTCCCATTGGATCAATTTTATATAAGTGGCCATACTTATAATCTTATTGGTTGATCATAATTTGGATTCACATTGCACCCACCTCATGATTTTGCTCTATAAAACTTCCTTTGAAAAGTGGGCTTGTTGGCAACCCACTTTTGGTTCCCCACCTCTTTCAGGAGCTAGCTCTCTAAATAAAATTTTCCTACTCTTAACCTCTGTTGTTCCTTAGAATTCATTCTTTGATTTTGGGGAACATGATCTCAGTGTATCTGACATCTAGCAGGTTGGGAGTTACATTTACTTCCCCTATATCATTTAGAGATCCCACCAAGATAGTTGGAAGGAGGTCAGAGTTTGCTTTTATTTCATGGATTCTGGATTGTGACTCATTGAAGTAATCAGAAATTATCCATCACGTACTCCTTGAATTTTGTGCCTTGTCCCACCCACACATTTTTTATGTTAAAATGATGATAAATTTAAGAATTTGGTAAGATTTTGATTTCCTTTCTTTGATGGGACATTTTACTTTTGCAGGCAAGGCTTTATTTTCCTGTTTTGGTATGCTGCATCTGGACTTACTAGTTTCTGAATTTACTGGCATGAAGCATGAAGATTTGGTGACACAGTCACAAAATAAAAGTCAGGAGCTACGTAAATTCCATCAGCAAATTTATAGGTTACACATCCTTTTACATAGGAGCATAAACAAAGTCACATTTTCTTTTTCTTTTTTTTTTTTTTGTATCAGGGATCGAACTCAGGCCCTTGAGCTTGCGAGGCAGTAAAGCCACATTTATTGCAACAAAAGCAAAACGGAGTAAAAAGGAGAGCAAAGCAGTATCAGAAAACTAATTTAAGGGGTGACAGCTCTAGGTAGGCTTCAGGACCCAGGGGAAATTGAGCCAGGTAGAGCTTGTAACTGCACCTAACCTAGGACAGAAGTGGTGGGAGTTTTAAAAGGGACACATTTTTCTTGTTCTTCTGCGGGAAGACACTGTACTTAAGTCCTGAATTCAATCACCAGTACCAAAAAACAAAGGAGGACCCAGTCATCTTCTAACTTCCACTACCACAAAATGTGACCTTGTTTGGAATGAGCTTAAGAATAATCAAGTTAGGATGAAGACAGCAGGGTGGATGATAACCTCATGTGACTGGTGTCCTCATCAGAAGGGGAAAATAGGACACAGGCAACATCTCTTCACATCATGCAAAGATTGGAGCCATGCTGCTTTGAGCCACTAACCTCCAGAAGCTGGGAGGAAGGAACGGAATATATTCCTTCTTGGCACTTTTGGAAGGTTCAAGTCCCAGTCAACACCCTTCTTTCTGACTTCTGGCCTCTAAAACTGAGAGAATAAATTACGCTTTTTCAAGCTACTTAGTTTACAGTCCTCTGTATGGCTGTCCCAGAAAACAAGAATATCAGTTATGTGACATGTCCATGCCCCTACCTGTAACCCTATGCAATGGACACAATAACCTACCTTCCCTCACAGCATTCTCGGGAAATGAAAGAATAAACAAAATAAAGTGTAAAATGCTAAGTGTCGAGCCTGGTACACAGGCAGTGCTGAGGACTAGAGTATCTTTTATTTTCATAACTGAAAAAATCCTGCTCCACACTTCTCCTGTCCTCATGAACACATGACCTCAAGAAAGGGGTCCCTATGACTCTTACTCTCTCCTTTCTCCTTCTAGAGGCCAGGAGAACCTGCACGCAGTTGCTTGTATCTGCAGTCACAGCCACTTGGGAGGCTGAAGTGGGAGGATCATTTGGGTCCAGGTCAGCCTGAAAAAATAGGAAGAATTCCTGCTAAAAAAATAAACATAAACAAACAAACAATAACAACAACAAAAAACGGGTACATGGAGTTCAGGGAAATGACCTGTTTCAGAATCGGACTTGCAACAAAAAAAGTAATTTTTTTTTAAAAAAAGCTTTAATTATAAAGAATGCAGCAACAATTCATGATGGCAGAAGACAGCAAAAGCAACAGGGACCTTGACAGCCCCTTTTATCCCATTCAGACCACCAGGATCAGGGTGTTGCCAAACCAATCACTTACTGTGTGGTGGTTTAGTGATCACACCCGATTAATCCCAGCATCACACCATCTGAATTCAGCCACCTCTGAAAAAGAAAGTCCCACTTCATCCACATGAGGCTTTGGGGGACATCTAAACACAAGCCATAACACTGTGCTCCAATAAATTGGAGAATCCAAAAGAAATGGATAAATTACTAGATACATACAAATTACCAAAACTGAGCAAAGAATACATAAAATCATTCTGAAATCAATAAGAAGATTCCTCAAAAAACTAAGACTAGAAATTCCACTTGACACAGGTACTCCTCCCTAGGAACTTTCCCAAAAGGATTAAAGACATCATAGTACATTATACACTCATACCCATATTTATAAACCACACAGCTTATAATAAACTTTGGAAGCAGCCTATATGTCCATCAATAGATGAGTGGATAAAGAAAACGTGACATTTAGAAGGAC